CACATGACGAATGTGTTTCAAGAGGCCGTGCATCTATGTTTACTTCATGAATGAGTCATTTACAGTAAGTGCACAATACAACCAGATTCCAAACATCTAACAGCAACCAGAAGAGTTTCCAGCATTACTGGACCAGCCATTTTATAGCCCGAACCCAGTAATTGGTAAATAACTCCTTGGTTCCTTAATGCAGTGTCTCAACTGTGCAGTCTTGACAAACAGAGTGATCCCATTGACCACCTGGGCTCTTGCAGGCATGTGGTGCTGTCAAAGAGGGACGAGCCTCACCTCCAGTTAGTGCTGAACCTCCCAAATGAGGCTGTATTGTATGTGAAATGTTAATAGGCAAGTGGCTTGGTGGGTGGTTCTGAGGAGTCTTTCCACAATTCCTCAGTCTCAGCATTGTGAGCTTGGAGCGTTTGAGCACAGAACCGAAAACCACACAACTGACGATTCAAAAGAAAAACCATGTCGGTATAACGAAAAAATAATCGTAGCTTCTAAACGATTAAAACAAAAAATGGAGTGGTGCACAAACTGTGAGGTGCAACGTTCCAGGCTTCGGGGGAATAAATCTGCTTTTCAGTTTTGAGCTCAGCCCAGATGTTACTGAGCACTGTTACAGCCAAGATGCATAGAAAACAAGCCGGAGAGCCACTCACTCAGAACTCACACTTTCACTCCCTCCCTCCCACCCTCCATTCACACTGTGCCCGGCCAGCCCTGCAAAGCTCCCTGCTGTGTGCAGCTTGAAGGATGAAGAAGAGAGCGTTGCTTCAACTGGCTGGCTATACACACTGTGATAAACAAAGGAAAGAGAGAGCTGTAAGGTAGTGTGTGCCTGTTATTGCCCATGCAAGTACTTGAAATGTAAGAGATTTAAAAGCATGGATAAGTGGTTAAAATACTACCAAACAAAAAAGCTTAATTGAATGATGGTTCACAATAACAGAAGAAGAATAAATTATTATATTTATATTGTACAAGTTTTAGAAATACAGCATAAGCTGTGCCTTTTGCAAAAATGGTGCAGTGTTAAAATTAGTTTGTGTACAGAAAGTAAAATATTTCCATATCCCTGTGAATTCACCAAGAAACACAAGTTAAATTACAGGCTCATTCAAGACATTGCTTCTGTGTATCTCAAAAAGATTAATTGTTAATTTTCAGATACTTTTTAGGAACAGACAGTAGAAGTGGACGGATTCCATCTGATGCCAGCATATCATAACTTCCCGCCTTCTCACAAACTGGTATCTCGAGAAAAGCTGATTGAACTATCCAGTGAGAAAAGTCTTCATATAGAATTCAAACCAAAACTGCTTACTGACTCCCAGGGTCAGTTTATGAAAAACCCTGATCTGATTAAATAATGATGGATGTACATCTGCCTTTCAAATCAATGCACCTTTGAGACACTATTTTCCATGCTATCAAAGGTCAGGACCAAACAACACTCGTGTGTCCAGGTGGATTTGGTGCCTCAATGATTCAGTTAACTAAGAACCTTAACTCATCCCAAATTCAAGTCCATCATTCAAATTAAACTGGTGAATAAACTAAAACCATTTGTCATAACCCAAAGCATTTGTTAAATTAGACTGCAGTGTTTTAATATGGGCGGGAGTAGGCATAAATAAATGCTACAAAAGAGGAATGCCAAGGAATGTTTTGGAGACATAAATGAACCTAGACAGAAGCACAAAATTGACATGGACAAACTCTTCACAGGAGGCTCCAGTTCTGAATCAAAAACAACACACAGGCGCTGTGAAGTGGCAGAACTAGCTGCCATTCTACCTCCCCACTCTGGTCTCAGCAGTAATAAGATATAAAAAAGAAACAGACATTAAAGAAACTGACCTAATTCGCCTTTTTATAGAAAACTCAATTCTTGGCTCTAAAAGTAATATGAAGTTGGTCAACAATGAACCATTGTTGGCTCAACTGTAGATCACCAACCACAATCAATATCCAACTAAACCCACTGCTGCCACTGTTGGCCCAGTGCTTGCTGGTTGTCTAGGAGGAGCCTGACATGAAATTCTACTACACTGTTTCTGATGCATTGTGAAACAGTGGAATACAGGACTAAACAGGTTGTAAGACTACAGTATGTCAATGACTGAAGTGCATGATTTTTTGTGGGTGCAGTATTTAATATAAGTCATATAAGAATTAAGGGCAGAGTGTTTTCAGCATTCATCTGTCACCTTTGACTAAACCAGGTTTAATGGCGTAGTAATGTAAAGTCAACCTTGTGTTGACTACAAAAATGTTCCACGATTGCTTGTCACATTATTATTTGTCAATACTGAGGCTACATCATATTTATATTTTAATGCTTGCTTGTTGTAAAAGGTCACGTTTTTAAGATGCTTCAATCTAATTGAAAGGTATGAATAGATAAATTGAATGAATGATTTAGGTGCTGTTTAAAGTAAACTCAGGAATCCAGAGTGTAATTGTTACAGTATTAAAAAACACATGGTAAGCAATCTTACATCACATTTTTCAAAGCATGGAAAGGGACGGAAAACATTTAGCAGGTAATTGGTTTCTTCTTCAACAGAAATAAATAGTTAAATTCAGCTGCCAGAGAAAATTCGCAGTCCAAATAAAAGCGAGAAATAATGTAGCATTATATAACTAAGCCTTATTTTTTTATACAGGTGTCTATGGATGAAAGTAATTGGTACACATGTTCCTCCATCCGCTGTAGACAAGCATATTCACAGCCTCAGCAATACAGCAATGCACAGCAAAGATAATAGCTTGTATCCTTGATGTCCAGCAAAAGAAGGGCACACTATGATGGGCCACTTCACTGCCCAGGAAGAAACGATAAAGCACATTCTCCTGATGTGAACTAATGCTGTCATTTAACACTTGCAATTTTTTTCTCTTTCCTTTTTGTGAAATTGTGTCTTTAGCTTTTTTGTGTGCTGTGTTGTGCCAGCCTCTGAAATGCATGCAAATTGCTTCTTCTTCTATGGAAGTTACTTTGGCAGGACAGGTGTAACCTGCCTCTCAGATAGCTATCCATAAGTACAACATAATGACTGAATATGGTGGACTAGTATTTATAATATCCTTTTCCTTTTAAAACCTTGAAATTAAAGGTTATATAAGTGCATTGTAGGCTATTTGCACTATTACAAAGTCCTCCAACACACTTCAAAGTTGCCTTTTGTAACAGTTGAAAGTTGGTAAATGAATAAATGAAACCAGGACAGGGAGGATCTGTCTATGCTTCAGTACAGTAACACTGTAGGCAAAAGAAAAAACAGCTGTCCATTTTTTTAGCCGAAACTGAAAACATTCTGCTAAACAACATTTGCAAATTGGACATTTGCTCTATTGGAACACAAAAATTTCACTTAAGCTATCAATTATGGGCAGTGCTGAACCACATACCATCCAGCAGCAGATCTTGCTGAAGCACACCATTAAATGAACTTGGGAAAAAATATTTCTGGCTGCAAGTGGAGAACCACTTCATAATTTACAACACAGCCCATTATTTATATTTGTACATTTTAACTCTATAACATCAAAAATGTTGTTTCATATGAAAAACACATTAAAAATGTAAATCAATCCAAAATTACTGTCGTAGTCACGCCTGTTGTATTGTTCTTTTTATATAACATATTATGGGCTATTATAGTCAAACACAATATGTTACATAGTGAATATGTAAAGACAAGGTCAGAGTAGCATGGGATTTCCATAAACTATTAGTAGTTTTACTGTTTTTTTGTCTTTAACTAAATTTTGTTTCCAGAATGTACAAACAGTTTTGCAATACAGAATATACTTTTACTGTCAGACATCCAGGGAAAAATGTTTAAAATAAAAGCCTCACATTTTTTAAGTTTTACAGTAACGGTGAGTAACTAATTGATATACTGAATAGGCAAGAATTCAGTATGAGTGAATGACTGAATCTTACCAGCCAGTAACAATTATACTTCTGTTTCAGAAACCCTTCCTGTACTATCTACAATGGTGCAATCTATTAAAAAGACCTTTTCAAATAGGATGTGTTAAATGTGAAAAAAAAGCTTCTATTTTATTATCATTCTTAAGAGTGACCTTTAAAACGACTAAAAGGTTAATTCAATTGACTATCCTGACAATTGAAAATATTTCCTTCCGGTCAGGTGTGAAGTTTTATTTTGTAATTTTCTTCTTTTCTCCACTGCTAAAAACAAAGTGGTTGTGCTTTATCGTTCATGTAGAATGTAACTCATAGCAACCGTTACCCAGGACACAGTCTTTTGAATTGATTTCCAAAGGCATTTAAAATCCACAAGAGAAGTTGAGCCGAGCATACAGTAAAACATTTACTTTCCTGAATTCCCATTACTTTAGTCATGTATTGTATAAACCTAGGACAAAACAAACTTTGTATGTGCTGCATCAAGGCATTCTAAAAATGTTTTTCTGATCATATTTAGAAATAATATTTTTATGTTTGACAGAAATAAGTAGTTTTTTAAAGCCTTAAAGGCCAAACTGCTACGTTTGTTAAATGCACATTTTCTGGATTATTATTGTGCCTGCATATAATATTCTTGCAGCCTGTCAGATTAACAAATACTTGTAGTTGAAAAATTAATTTAATATAAGTTTCAATGGACAAAAAATGCAGGATTATAAATGTAATTAAATATTTGGGCAGTTTCTTCACAGTGAACGTTACAGATTTAGGAGAATTTTAACATTAAACAAAAAAGACTGGAAAATATGTTTTCATATGTTAAGACTTATGACAACATCCGTAATGTATTACAAGTTTCAAGTTAGCTTGAAGTTTATAACTAACCTAAACTTTACAACTTCTGATTGATTGAAAATAATGACTAACATTAATTAAGAAAATGAGGCTAATTTTACCTAAGTAGCAAAGTCTCACTACCATATGAAATCATTACTTTAGGTATGTTTAACATCCATAATACCATAATAAGGTACAGTAGCAGCTTCTGACTTACCTTTACTACTCCATTTTCGTGCATGGTAATGCAGTTGTTTGGTTCCTTTGAAAGCTGGAATAAAGCTTGTGCTGTTGCTTGGTGAACTGAAGTATCTTTTGATTTCAGGTAACGTACCAGAGGGGCAACAGCCCCCGCCTCCCCGAAGGAAACTCTGTTGCTTCCCCACATGCAACAGCGAGCAATGGCTTCAGCCAAGTGACGCCGCAGATTATCACTAGTCTGGGAAAGAACAGAGAGACAACAACAATTATGAATTCTTTCCCACTATATACAATCAGAAATGGCCAAACCCTTATAATCCCCTATGCATTACTTTGAGAGCACAAACAGCAATTTGAACAGGATGGATTATAGTGTACATTGCAAAACATTCTATGTATTCCATATTCATTCTACGGGCAGAATTGCTTTCCATTGAGTTTGTGATGTTATTGAGATGTTAAGATGTACAGTATACTAGTTTTAACAGGATTGGGATCAGAGGATTGTTTCTGCCAGGTAAGGTGATGCAAGTCAATGTAATATTGCTCAAGGTAATTACCCTTTTCCGAGTGTATTCATTTAAATTTTTGTCTGGTTTTCAAAATGATCATGCCTCATGGAAATGAAAAACCTGGGTATTGCAGACCAGTCTTGGAAGGGAGTGTAATATCAGCCACTATACACTGTTAAAGTCTGTATTATTTGTAAATAGACACGCTGGGGGACAAGTGATTAACTACAGTAATTAGATTATTGGTAAAATACAGAATATACTGTACACTTTCCCTCATAGGGTTAATTAGATGCATGTTCAGGTACATTAAAGGACTTTCATGGTGTTAGTGGCAGTTGGGAGTTAGGAGTCTTTCTACTTGAAAGGGCTTCATGTTTTGCCAAGTGAAGCCTCATGAACTGTCCAGTATCACCACTGTGAGTTTTTCATGTCTCCAGACCTCTGGAGCTACATTACCTTGTTAATATGTGGTGTTTGTCACACTGGAATTAAAATGTACTAGATATAGTTATTTACTTATATTTTCATTACGATCTTTTGTTCAACATACAAAACGTTTTTTCCCTGCTAAATCAGTTTCTAATTCAAATCAAGAAACAAAGAAATAGGCTACTTGTAGAATTCATTTGATTTACTTTATGTTGCACAGCTTAGAAATAATCTAAAATTTACTTTTTTCAAGATGACGTAAGATGTTTAGATAAGAAGTTAAACTGCAAATGAAAACAAATTCTCAAAGGACATATGTTTCATTTTAGTAGAACAATTAAATTGCTTACCGTATTGGTCAATTTTGCTAACATTGGAACTACCCCATGGTCCGTTATAACTGCCAGATTTTCTTCATCTTTGGCAATTTTGGCTATAGCAGCACATACACTTGCAAGCACTTCTTTATTTGTGGATTTTAGCAAATTTATGATGAGTTCCAAACCACCAACAAAGGAGCGAACCATTTCTCCTGCATCCTAAAATACAAGAGCACATTATTGTCCAACACCATTAGTCAACCTAACTCATGACAAACATAGAAACAACTAGAAACTTTTTAAATTTATTTAACCAATTACATGACTGAAAAAATTGTTCAAATTTATTTTAAATCATATTATATAGTAGATTTAATTAATCAGAAAATTATTCTGTCTTGCAAAATATAAGGAAATATTAGAAAATATATATTTGTATATTCCTTATGTTTGTGAGATTGTTTATCAGCTGACCTTACAGAACAGGCCCTGTTTTTATTCTAGATGCATATACTGTAATGCATTCACAATTTGACTGAGCTAAATTCAGAGTATAAAATGAGAAACTTTTTATATATGATTTGTCACATGAATAAAAAAAGGAAGGATAATTTACCGGATATTGACATTTATATATTATATATTTATTTATATTATATATAAATAATAGACACTGTGAATATTGATATCCAAAAAAACAAAAACCATGATCTCTCTATAGGTTTTTGTATCGGAATCTTCTGTATTATGGTTGGAAAGCAGTACAATGTCTACATGTCTGTAAATTTTGGATGAAGCAAGGTTACCACATGAAGACAACATACATTGACATGAATAAACTGAATAACTTTGCCACCAGAGGGTGTATTTTTACTGTACGTGTTCAGTGCTTCCTTCCTCATTCCCATCTAAAGCATCTATCGAGGGGATAGCTGAATGCACACCCTGTGGAATGTAAGCCATTTTATGTCTAATCATGACATTTAGTATGGGCAGTGTGTAGCTTACCCATAGGCATGAGCCTTTATCATTCATTTACTGGTTTATGTTCAGGTACTGTAGCAAAGAAGGTTCAGTGGCTTACCAGCCAAGACTACTTGTTTTCATGGGTGCCTAAAGCTGAGAATCTATCATTGATATTTTGTATTGTAATGAAGATAGGGTAGAAAATCAAGCTTACTTGAGATTACAAAATTAAGATATATGTGTAAGAAACAAGTATTGGTTGCAGGGGTGTAGATAACTATACATTAGTTGTGCATTTTGCATATACATTGAAGGAATCTTATATTCAAGGAGTGTAAACCTAAAATAATTAGATAAATTAGATAACCCATTTTGAATTAACTCTATATCATTAGAAATACAAGAATTGTCTCTGTGCTTTTGTTAAGTGCAAGTCAGTCTACTGCTCATATTAAGCAGTAAAGCTGTTATAACTCTCATTTGTAATTGTTATTATGTTCTGTTAAATAACATCAAATACAACAAAATTCCTTACATAATTCTTGAAACAGGTTTTGCATCTGAAATAAACTACTGTATAATGCTGGCAATAACTCAAGTCTTAGCAGATTCATAAGACTCAGAAAATTACTGAATTCCCCATGCATGTATAATAACTTAGATTCAATGAAAATTGTCTAAATGTAATACATGTTGCAAAAGAGGAGTAGTGATATAAGGCATCCAGCTGCACTTATAGCATGACTCCGCCGTAAATCCTCTCTACAGCTGATAACCAAAACCAAATGTTTTGTCTGAATAACTACCACCCAACAAATATAAGATTCCTTCTCTGTATAAGCAAAATGCACTATTTAGCTCTTGTCATTGTTTTGGCCCCAGAAATCACAGAACCAGAGTATATTCTGGCTCTGTAAGACAGCGAGATGAACTTTGATCAAACTTTTTGATAAAATCTTCTGTCCTCTTTTAACCCTGGTTTCATAAATCATTAGGTAAAAATAACATTTGATGATAATAACACATTAGAAGAATATAATTATTTATTATTAGGATATATTTTTGTAGGCCACATCGACATCTACACTGAGTGGTTTAATTAGAAGAAAGTGAATGTCGTTGAGTGGCTCAGTCAAAATTCTAGCTTGGATCCAATAGAAAATCTGTGGCAAATCTTGAAAATTGCTGTCCTTTACAAAATCCCCACCCAAATTGACTGATTGAGCACATTTGCAAAAAATAATGGATGAAAGGTGCACCATCACAATTTTCAAGATTAGTAGGGGCTTATCCAAATCACAGCTGTAAGATTTTCCTACCATGTACTGATTTAGGAATGTTAACACTTTTTAATTTAGGATTTTCCTTTGCAGATCCTACTGACATTTAACTTCTTTCGTTTACAAATATGTTCAATGTGAGATAAGTTTTCATTATAAGTATTTACAAAATGTGTACAGAACATATACCTGTATAATGCAACTAAATGAGATCATTGGAAGGGGGTGAATACTTTTTCAATGCATTAAGTCTTTTTCAAGACTTTTTTCTTGCTATGCACCCAGGCCAGTTTTGTGTAGGGACTGTCAAGTATGTGTTTCATGCATAGTTAAAGTATGAAGACTGACTGCCATCCCTGACACAGTGGCACTCCGTGAACAGCTTTTGTACGTCTGCTCAGTTTAGTATCTGGGTGGCATTATGTACATTCCACTTCTTAATGATGGGCTTCACTTTATTCAAAAGGGATATGTACAATATGTACAGTAATCATCTCCTGATCTTGGTCTTCACGGTCCATTTGTCCTAAGTTGTGGCTTTAAATTCAATATTTGAAAGTATTTAATGAGACAGATGCATGTACTCTGAAGACAAATTTAAACCACTTTGATTACGCACAGATCACTCTCATACTATTCTTCTGCACAGCACTTAGGTGTGCTGTAGCAAAGAGGTTGAATACTTATGCAATTTAAAGATATAATTTATTCAAACATTTTTTTTAGCTTCATCAGTTTGGAGAATATTGTGCAGATTCTAAATATAAAGATTGAAAGCGTAATGATTTTCAGGCTTAACAAAATGTGGAAACATTGCAAGGTTTTGCGATGTAATACTAATAATTGCTTACACTTAAATAGCGCTTTTCTGGACACTCCACTCAAAGCGCTTTACAGGTAATGGGGACTCCCCTCCACCACCCCAATGTGCAGCCCCACCTGGATGATGCGACGGCAGCCATAGTGCGCCAGAACGCTCACCACACATCAGCTATTAGTGGGGAGGAGAGCAGAGTAATGAAGCCAGTTTATAGATGGGGATTATTAGGAGGCCATGATTGGTAAGGGCCAATGGGAAATTTGGCCAGGATGCCAGGGTTACACCCCTACTCTTTTCGAGAAACGCCCTGGGATTTTTAATGACCACAGAGAGTCAGGACCTCGGTTTTACATCTCATCCAAAGAACGGTGCCTGTTTACAGTATAGTTTCCCCCTCACCATAATGGAGCATTAGGACCCACATGGACCGCAGGGTGAGCGCCCCCTGCTGGCCCCACTAACAACTCTTCCAGCAGCAACCTTGGTTTTTCCCAGGAGGTCTCCCATCCAGGTACTGACCAGGCTCACACCTGCTGAGCTTCAGTTGGTTGCCTGTTGTGAGTTGCAGGGTGATATGTACTCTAGTTTGTATAATAAAATACTTAAGTGACATAAAAAGTAGGATAGAATAAAAAAATGTGCAAAGGTATCTTTGCAGTGCTGTGACATAATTAAACTCCTGTATGTTTAAGTACAATGGAAAGAACAAGTCAGGAAATTCAAAGCTATTGATTACAGCTACTGGAATGAGGCCTGAAATAAACTGTGTTATGTGGTTCACAGATATAGCAAACACAAAGATTTTCTTTCAAGTATCACTATCAAGGCAATAGAACATTACCATCTGCCTTTCATTGTTTCCAAGTTTACCAACAGAGTATAGTAATAATATCTTAGCATTAAAATGTGTTTAATCTTAAAAGTCTCTTTTTGTGACACTGGTTTCAGCACCACCAGAAGATTATAAAAAAGAGAGAATTTAATGGGATTAAAATGGATACAGGGTCATTTTTCATCTGGCTTGAACAAAATATAAAACTAAAAAACATCAACTTCAACATAGATAACACTGCAAGACCACAGGTGTCTGGTTAGCCAGAAGGGTTGCTGTTATTTAGTTCTTTTTACTTTCAACTGTTTGTCCTAATTTGTACAGTAGGTGCACTTTTACACCACTGCTAAGGTGAATACTATTCCAGTCTGGCTAATGACATTATGCAAATAATAACCAGGTATGTTTGGACTCTAGATTTTAATCTGTTTCAAATGTGTGCCAGTCCAGGTTGTGTCAGTCAGGAACTGCTGCATATTGCACATATTGATTATACAATGCACATATTCACATTTTTAAAAAATTCAATATGTCTGGTTTTACCCATACAAACATTGTATGATTTTTCTGATATTTCTAGCATGGATCTTTTCTATTTTCCGTTCGTCAATACAGAGAAAAACATTTAATAATCTCACATATTACCTTCGCATTTTCAATACAAGGACAAATTGCCCATGCTGCACTAGCTTGAACATCAGGATTTGGATTCTTCAACAAGGACCATAATAAGCGCACACCATCTAAACGATCAATTATCCTGTAGGAAAGAAAGAAAATCTCTATCATTACCACAATACGTTTGATTTAGCAAAGTTTTAAAAAAAAATGTGAATGTGCTGCAAATAGTACATACTGTACATAGAACACATGAAACACATAAAAAATCCAGTAAAGTAACCAAATAAAACCAAAAGTAAAACAATTTATTTTTATCATATATACAGTAAAGCATTACCCTTTCTCTACTGAGAAAACAATATTGTAATTGTTATCTAGAATTTTATGAACGGTCTAAAAGCAAAAAAAGAAAACAGAAAACTACAAGTCATTTTGTAGGTTTTCAAGCAAATCTGAGCCTACTAAGTTTTACTGTGAATTGATCAAACATTTTTTGCACAGGACCGGTGTGCACTGGAGTTTTTACAAGCTCCGTGAGACTCACTCAGAATCCTGTAAGGATGCAAGTCTTGGTGTAACCTGCCAATTGGTGCAGTGTTACCCAAGAATGCTGGTGAAGTTTGAATTTTGCACATAAAATACTTAAACTACTAATCAGTCAACTTTGTTTTAAATTGTTTGAAATTGATTAAACAAAAAGTTTGGGACGTGTAACAACAAGGAAATGATATGGTGGTCCGGTGATAACCCCCATTTATGAAAAAGGTTACCATTTCACCTTAAGGAAAAATGGTAAAATGCTTTAGAGTCGATTGTTTACATTTTTTGGTGAAGAACTGCTAGAGCTATGAGGTGGTGAATTTTCTTTAAAGTAAATTTTCTTCTTTGGAGTAAATTGGCCAAACAATCTTGAACAGGAAAACATTGAGGAACTGGTGTCATTTTCCATGCAGGTGGCGATCACTTATCACTGCAGTACGTAAGGTGTAAATAAGAAGGTGCTTTGGTTGATGATGCATTGATGAAAACTGACAGCAGACAGTCAGTGCAGAGGTTCATGACAAGATTATTTTGAAAGGGTCTTTGAATATGCAGGTCAAGCTACCATTTTGGATAATGAAAGACTCCACTTTTATGTCACATATAACTGTTTGTACTATATCAGTACTGTATATGTGCATAGCATGACACAGCATATACTGTATATATGAAAGCTGTCTAGGCTTCAAAAATCCTTGCCATCACATTAGGCTTCCACTTCTTTCTCTTTTCAACTTATATAAGTGCATTATAGACCACCACAAAATTATTTATTGCAGCAAATCTTCTTAGACCTGAAGTAAGTTCTATTTTTGTATGCTTTTATATACTCTAACAAGTTAAGACAAGCAAATACTAGTGCCAGTCATCAAAGAGAAAAAGGAATTAATTTTTTTATCAAATACAGTTGACTTGCAAGTTATACGCTCTCAACTTAGGCGGTCAGCTTCAGAAAATAAAAAAATGGCTCTATTCTCTGAAAAATTATTTTTCCTATGAGAGCTAGTCTGTGAGCCTATACAGTCATCTTATTTACTTTTATTTATTGTTTTTATACTTAGATTTAATATCTCAGACATCTCAAGTCTCCCGGAAATCTGCGTCTCCTCCCTGACCCCCACAAGTGATCCATAATCTCAAAATCCCTAACCCCCGCGTAAGACAAGTCAAACATACAGTGTTGCATATATAGATTTACTAATAATTTCATGCACGTTTACTTTACCTAAAGACATATTTTCATGTTACATTTTAGTCTAGCTTTGGGAACTAAGAGTTACACCCTTAGTCTTTTCAGGCTCTCTGTTTGCAGCGTCAACAACACCGAGATCGAGCACTGTCATGATTGCCCAAACACTCCCTAATCAATGCATCTTCATGCCTGATAATAAATGAATGACTATCAGAAATATCTCTGCACCATCTGTCTTACAGTATGTTTCTGTGTAATTCAGTCTAGGGGATCATAACTTCGGATTAAAGTCCTCTGAGTACTCTAAATTAAGAGCTGAAAGTAACATCATCCACAGAAAGTGCATAATTCATAAGAACAGACGTAAACATCAGGCACACATACCTGACAGAACAACTTACTTAAATTGGAAACAACAGAATATTTCCAGTCATTAAATATTATACTTATTTCTGAAATACATCAGTTTAAAGGTAATAATACTTAGTGAAGAAAATTTATTTAAAACGTTTTTTTGTTCAGAAAAAAAAGATAAGTAGACTTCAAGGGCAACCTAGTGACCTAACTTATTATTGAGCTAACCTAACAATTATTATCCATGATTCATAATGTCAGGAATACACAATAATTTTGGCATTTCCTCTATACATCATAAATGTACAGTATATATGCTACATAAACTGCTATATATGATATATACCTTAAGATGACCAAGGTAACATCAAAATACTGATACTGTAGACTGTTATACAGTATACTGGCAAATGCAAACTAAATTGTTTTTGGAAATTTTAAAATCAGATTTCATGTACAGTATAATTACAGAAAAGACTTAAATTGTTCAATGTTCTGAAATCAACACTATAGACTGAAAATAACAGTTAATGCTAAAATATCTGTGTAAATAAGAAATGTAAAGGTTTAAAAACGTAGACAATGCAATTTTCAAGAAACAAGCAATTATCAAATGTGTTTGCTACTCCGAACATTAATTTGTAGGCATTTCAACATCTCTGTAAAGGACTAAAATTTAGACAGTATTATGTGTTACTGTCACAAATACATATTTAGTAATTCAAAGAAAAAAACATTAAATCAGAACATACCAAAAATGATACAATACAGTATGTTAATAATAATACATTAGGTTAACAGCGTCATTAAAACATTTACCATTTTTACTAATTCTATATTATCTCAGTTTAATTATAAGATAAAATCACTTTATTGTCCATATACAATTTCTTGTATGAGAAATGTATATTTTCGCATACCCCAACTTGGTCTCCATGAGACACACAGACGGGGAGAAGCTTGGGGTCAGAGGGCAGGGTCAGCCATTTATATACAGCAGCCCTGGAGCAGTTGGGGTTCAGGGCCTTGTTCAGGAGCCCAACAGAGTAAGATTCCTCTGCCGGCCATGGGATACGAACCGGCAACCTTCCAGCCACAGGCGCAGATCCTTAGCCACACAAGAATTCACGCAAAGCTGTTTCTGTCCTTTGCAGCATGTTTTTCGATCTGAATTTGTCATCTGTTAGCTTACAAATAATATTGAAGTACTGCTTACTTGAGACAAGTGTTAATTAAGAAATGGATTTACTGTATGTCTGTAATTACCTTGTAAAACTGATGAGAATCAGATGGCATTTGTCTAAATGTTAGCTTTGAAACCTCTGAGAACGTTGGTGTTTTTATTTTAATTATTTTCCCAGTAAGAGGGATTCTGAACAGCTGAAAAATGCCACATAAACTGAATGTTCACTCCATTACTGTATGCCCTAATACAGAAATTAAAACTGAAGAGCTTATACACATGTAGTCAACTTTACATTTATTGTGTTCAAATCAGCCAGAGCCTAATTTATCCCTGCAGTTTTTTTTTTTGCACTGTAAAAATCAATTGTATGGTAAGAATTCACAATTTAATGTTGTGAGCATAATTTATGAAACTTCAGAAGACTTCCCTCAAACATTCCAAAAAGGTAAAGACGGTAAAAGGTAAAGACTTACGCCATATTTTCTGGTTCAGCAGCACAGGCACCAACAGCCTTAGTAACATTCACAAGAAGAGCCTGATTGGTTCCTGTAAGCAGGTTCACCAGTGGTTGAATGCCACCACACTTTCTTATGACTGCTCGATTGGCAGGTTCTTGGGCACACTCTCCTAAAGCTCCCACTACATTGACAAGAACTTCTTCAGGTTGGCCAGTCAGCAGTCCAACCAGGATTTCAAGGGCTTTGTATTCCTGAAGTCTGAAGAAACAAAAGGGAGAGTTACAATTTTATGTTTATATTAGCAAAGTACATAATGTGGTTTTAGAAAGCCTTAACAAATCTCTGATGTATGGTTAGGTTATATAACTCTGTTTTTATATGCTGGTATGGTTTCTGGATCAAGAATTGTAGGCTATTACAGAAAGTGTCCAAGGTCATTTGGTTTTGCTCACAATCTCCTAAAACTTTTCTTGAAAAAAATATGTAATGAATGGGGAGGCTGCCAAAGTTAACTATAATAATTCAGTTTGCCGAGTTTAAGAAACATTATGTTATTCATGTGCTGCTACTGAAGTGTTATCTACAATGCATAGGATTGTGCTGCAATTGCTCACATTACTTTTGATAGATAGCATGTCGTTTTGGCTATTTCTGGCCAGCCATTATATGACAGGTTAACTATTTTCATGTCTTCAGTCTTGACTTGATAGAGGTATTGTATTTAATAGCATGAAAAGTTCTGACAAAGTTGTTCTAAAGATAAACCTGTTTAAGGATCAACAGTGAAATTAAGTGATTGACAGACCCAAACAGAAATAAAAAGGTTGTGCATTTATGAGCAATCATAGGTGCTTTATATTTACATTGCTTTGCAAGGCAATCAATGTATAACAATCATTAGACAAGGAATGTGGTCGATGTCAGGAACATGTTGCCCACCCATGTTATTGAAATGGATTGTATTGGATCATCCAAGAAGTGGTTGGATGAGATTTTTGTCTCAATAAGTTACTGTATTTGCAACAAAGTGAACATGATGGACCTCCTCTTGTCTGTAATCTTTCTTATTCTAACAATATTTTAGTGCAGCTTTACAAGTTTTATGAAAACCTACATTTCTACATTTAAACAAATATACTTCAGTGCAGATTGTAATTATATTTATGCAATCAATCATTTTTCATTTTGATGCATCATTAATCAAGCAAATAGTTACCACATGCTCATTGTTTTTTAAATGTCTTCTTCAGTTCCAAATTATATTATACTGTACATACACAGGGTGCATGCTACACATCAGTTATACAATAAATCACTGTCTGATGTATATAACATACAATAGTTAAAAAAAAACTCAATGTTTAAAACAGTTTTAAAAACACTTTGTTACTGTGAAAATATTGCAAAAAAAACACTTTCTTCTCACTTATTACTTGCCCATCCTGCTTTAAAATGAATATTTGCCAATGTAGAGAAATGTTATATTTTAAGCCTTCTTTTATTATTAGCAATTTTATTTCAAAGTAATAGCTTGTCCTTTTCATTCCAATACGCAAGCTGCATTTGACATTTTTATATATTTTTTAAACTATCCTGGGAGAATTTTAAACCAGATCCATGCACAGTTTTAAGTACATAGTAAAATATTGTTTGCATCATGCTGATTTCCTTTTGTAACAAAAGCCAATGTACTTTATTTCACACCCAATCCATTGAAAGAGCCAACATTAAAAGCAGGAAAGTATTTCCATAAGCATAATAGAGAAAAATCTCAAAGAAGATATATTAGGTGCATATTGTGTGAATTTGTATTTTATATTACATTACATTATTACATTACAGTAAGAATTTTGAATTTTGAATTTTGAATTTTGAAGAATGATAAGAAAGTGTCTGCAATTATTATTTAATGTGAAATGCATATTGCCATTATTTTTTATTTTCTTCTGCAAGGTGACAGTGTTACAGTATGTGTAATTACAAAGGAAGTCTGTAATTATATTTATATTTAGAGTGTGCAGAGGGCCACATTACTCCTAGGCATTTTTGGGGTCTAGTGTATAATCTGAAAACTCATATATGACTAACAGGAACTGCGTTCATCATACTGTTATAAAACCGAAAACAGTATTTAGTGTTACAGTATGTTATGACTCATCGTGTCTTACCCTGAGTAGTTAACTGAAATCAACACATACACTAATACCTGCTTAATACACAGAATACACTCTTAAAGTACACTCTCAGTGCACACAACAAATAATCAAAGTGTCTACACCAATCAGAATTTAACTTAAAAGTGTCTACAGAAATAATGCCCTGCATGTAATGCATGTGGTGCTATAATTCATAAAAAGACAAGTCACCTGCAAGAGCTATACAGTAGGTCTGCCTGAGGTCACCAGAAAATAATTTTGTCTTTTTCAAACTGTGGTGGTTAAAGACAGCACCGTTATGATTAAGACATTTTATTTAAGAATATAAATGGGTCGGATTCCCAGTCAGTTGTGGTTTCCTGAAAGGCACCCAACCTAGGGGCCTCCTTCATGCCTAATTTCTGACAAAACACATATTGGGATTGTATACAGGAAATATTGTATTAGTGATCCACTTATGAATCTTCGTCATGCTGCTGTACCTAGACATGCTGTGTGTTCGTATGTCTGCTCTATTTTGTGCATGCTGCTGTGCTACATACAGACTGAATCTAATACTTATTTAAACTAGGTTGGAAAAATGAGGAACGTAAGCAAATAACCCTGAAGGTTAAAAATCTGGAAGAATTCAGTAAATGAGAAAAGCATATGAAGCATGATAACAGAGTACAGATATCTATAAAAATGTAGGCATTTAGCTTTCCAAAGTGAAGTCAGTTACAACAGTGGTTCTCTCTGAAGGACCCATGTCTTCTGGTTTTTGTTTCAGCCAAGTTCATAGTTTCTATTTTAGGGGTGTTTTTAATTTGCGTTCTGCTCTTGAAAAGTTGAATGGGAATTTGGAATTGGTATTTAAATTTCAAAGTTTCATTCAGAAGGTTCCTGTACTGTAAGCAAGTAGACCTTTGTAGAAAGAATAAAAAAAACTCACTGAGAGAATATCTGACACAGTATCCACCATTTGTACCTATGTTCATCAGAACCACCTGTTTACAAATAAATAAGGCTGCAAATTCTTAATAAACCTTTCAGGAAAATGGAACAATACCTCAAGCAAACTATTTTTTTAAACCAATGACTGAAAACAGAAGCAGGTAAACACAGGGGTCAGACAATCCCCTGTTCAGTAGAAAATGGCACCTTCTGTGGTTTACTGGGGCTTTCAGGGCTGTGTGGTATTGACGACCAGCTGACACTAAGCATTTTGCAGATTGAAGTGTGAAAACTGGAGGTCATCCGTTTTCTGAGACATGCTATGAGACATTGCAAGTCTCAGCAAATAATAAAGACCATCATAATTACAAATAAGTGCTAGAATGTGTATTCACACATTTTAGGATATTAGATTAAAACACAAATGTATAAATAACATAGCAGCAATTTAAATTTTGTATCTGCAAACTTTAGTATTACAATCGTAAAAGGTCACATCATAAAGTAGAAACTACCATACCCACAGAGGTTTTGTATATTCCAGTAAGGTAGAGTTTCTCCTTTCTTCATGTCTAACCAGAAACTTTCCTACATGATACAAGTTAAGCACACTTTGTTTTGTCCTTTACAGAAGTGGGATAATCTGGCAAGGTTATGCTTAAAGCTTACAATGCACTAATAAGAATATAATTAGATAAATTAGAATATAATACCCTAAAGGGCACATAATAATCATAAGTAATTTACATAGGACCTTTAAAGTAGCATCTCAAAGCACTTTAAAAAACAGTTCTATGGTTACTATGGTTTACCTTACAGCATGGAGTGAACTTGTAGCTTTGTAGCCTACGCATGCTGATGTAGCTGCTTACGCTAACTTATAGCACGAGTGTGTTCAAGAATGTTTCCTTTTTAACTCAATCAGGAAGTTAGGGTTTGAGCTAAAGCATTGTAAAAATAGAAAAAAAATGGACAAATTAGAGGAGGCTAATTGGCCCACAGCCCTTTTGGTAGTTTACTGATCCCTCATTCATACGGTAACCAACTCAAAGACGAAAAAAAGCTATTAATTTGGGCTAACCTTCCATTGGACTCCAGAGGGGTGGTACTGGAACCAACAGTAAAAATAAAGTAATGAAATGATAATTTAATGACTGCCACTTAACTACTGTGTGGAGACACAGCTGTCATGATATAGATGGAGGTCTAAGTTACAAACAAACAGGTTTACATACAGTACTGTATAAATTGAACTAAACAAAGATGAAACTGAAAAGGGGATTATGTATGGCTTCGTTGGATGTATTAATGCATACTTGGTAGTTTCACTGATAATTGTGTTAATGCTGTCTGATAATTGAATGCATACTTTGTGACATTCTCCACGCTTATGGAACATTTCCAGATGGCTCCAGTTGCAGCTGCTAAAAGTGGCTTGTTGTCAGACATCTTCAGCAGAGAGACGAGGGGCTGAAGTCCGTCATATTGTCTAACAAGATCACGTGTTTTCTTGTCTTCTGCACACTAAAAAAATGAAATAATACAATTTATTTTAATTAACATTAAAAAACAGTTCCTATTTTAGATTTATTACCAGTGTACTTTATAAATAAAACAGAAAAAATGGCTTTAGATTGAAGCCTGAAAGCTGCAATTTATTATTTATTTATAGTGAGCTATATGGATATTTACTCAACTTGTCCAACTTCCAGACATATGAAATAACACATACCATTTTTTTTTCATTTTCGTGTATTAGCAAAATCTTTAGTTTTTTTTAAAGTAATCTAATATATTGATGAATCTAAAGGAAGGAAAATATTTTTTTAATTTCAAACTATGTAGTTTTATCAGCAACAGTAAGCCATGCATAGTACCATAAACTGACTATAGATGGCACAGTAAACTGATAAACTTAGAGAATCTCACTTTTTTGAGTAAACAATTAAAATTAGACTCATTAGATATCAATTTTATTTTTAATAATAAGTAATAATAATACGATTTCTTGAGTCACACATTTTCCAAATTACCACTTAAAATTAGCTTATGTGATATTTATAAATATGGGTAAACGTTTGCTCAATTTTCCTGTTATCATTAAATAAACAATATTTAGAAGTCCTTAAAAATATGCTTTACATACTGTAAAATATACAGTGGCACATAATATAATCAAAGTAATGTCTACCTTAAAGATAGCACTAGCACAATGCATCTGAAGTTCCTGGTTTTCACTGTTGAGATTTTTTACGAGATCTTCAATCATTTTCTCAGTCTGAATTGCAGTCCTGTAACTTTGCTGTAATTAAAAGGAATAAACACACATTTTATAAGGTAGTAATAAGAAAATTAGAGCAGTGAGCTAGCCTGACACAAAGATAACAAGCACATTTGATTTTATGGCTCTCATTACGTTGTTTTACATAGCTTTTAAAGCCTATGATTTGATCTCCCACATTCTTACCCAACAAATATTTTCTAAAACAACTAAAATTACTGAATTATTTTACCTCAGAAGCACATTCCTGAAGTGTACCAACCACTGGGATCAACATGCTTTCATGAGGTGATTTCAAGAGCCGAGCTAGTAATGGAATGCCCCCTGCTCTCCGAATTGCTTCTTTATTTCTGGTGCTTTTACTGCAGCTCCACAATGCCAGAGCACCACAGCGTGCCACTTCAATATCTTTCTCCTGCTCTGGAGTCAGAACCGCGGCTTTCTCGGGAACACAGTCCAAGAGCCCCACCTGCAACACACGGGCGGGACAAGGGATCGTTTCATTTCTATCAAGATATCCCATAGCTGTTGTATAAAGCACCACCAAAAATACAAATAGTTTAAAGGGTAATGTTTTTTTAATGATGTCTTGGTCATACGACCCTCAACGCTGACCCAAAATATCATGAGCAACAAAAGCTGATGTATTTTTGAAAATGCCAGGCAGGTGGTCTCAATGCATGAATATAGTAAGGAAAAATATTATGATTTCAAGATACAGTATATTCTGTTCTTTTAAATGGCTCAACATTTAATAAACCATGTTTTGGGACATTTAAAGTTATACACCTAATGATTTGAAACTAGAGAACATTAGAAAGTTTAGAAAAAAGAGGAAGCTATCTAGCCCACCTTGCTTGTTTGATTGTAAACATGATATAGGTTCAAGGATCACTTTCAGCCCTCTCAGGAAATGAGCTGTGATACTTAGGTAGGGTAATTTGTTCTCTGCATCCACTGTGTTCTTAAATGATTCGGCTCTTAATTCTTTCATGTACTGTATACTCAACAATTGGGTTGATTTTGACAATCTTTTTCATGATTTGGAATAGGTATAGTTGGCTTATATAATTTTCCAAGACGGAAGAAAGCTAATTATTAAATATGGCAGTATATGGCATTACTTTTAGGCCAGCAAAAAGTATAATCACTTTTCTTTGAATATTTCAGGGCAGAACTTTATCGTTGCAGTATAAATAGTGAAGTGACACAAGTTAATGTGTTTGTGCAATACCAAACATCTATTGTAGCAATGAATAAAACTCTAAACTGTAGCCAGCCTTGATCCATAAAAAAAAAAAAAATTATAAATTGATGGTGACATTCTACCTGCTCTTTAAGGTTAACATGAAGCTATCTCATTTGAGATCTAAAATTGAAATAGTCTACATACAGACCTACAGCACGGTTAATTACAGAACTTTGAAAATGGAAGGAGGATATCGAACAAGGAAATATCACAAAAACGGGTCTTTTACTTACAAGCCTTTTTATTCCTCCATGCTGTCTCACTGTTCTTCTTGCCCTTCTAAACCTGGCCACGTTAGCAATTGTTTCTGCAGCAAGACATCTGAGATCCTTATCGGGGGAATCTAATATTTTCACCATGGTCTGTAACCCACCAAGGTTAGCGATGGCTCTCCGGATTTGAGAATTTCGGCTGATTTCCTTCAAGATTTTCAGGGAACCAATCTAATTGCAAATAAGAAATGCTCCTTTTAATGCAGAATGTAATGGTAATGCAGAATGTTGTCTTAACACAGCCGGAGAGTTTTTATAAAACATCACAATCGTTAAGAAAGTTATTTTTATGAAGAGAAACAAAAAGCAAAAACAAACTTAAGACGTATATTGTACACATATATTCAGAATGTAACTATGTCCTCTAAAAAAAGTAATTATTGTAAGCCTGTGTCTTTAAACATAAGCATTTGTTATGATGACTAAGATTGCTCTGGTCTAAACACATACTGGCATACAATATAACACAGTTTGCCTGTAGGCATCAAGGTTTTTTTGGCAGGACTACTCACATTGCATCTAATTTCTTCTGTATCCAGCAAGTTAATGAGAACTTCAAGGCCACCTACATCCCTGATGGCCAATTGGCATGTCTCCTGTGTTAAATTAAAATCCCTCATTGAGCACAGAGCAATCACAGTGGCTGTCTGGTTGCCTCCCTGCAATAATAATTCAAAGCATGAATTAATTAAATCTTTGACATACAAAGAATTTCAAAACATTAATAAAATTAAGCAGTCTTGTGTCTGTTTGCAGGTATTAAAAGTACTTTCTGATATGATTCTGCTTACACTACAGATATTGATGTCTAGTTATGCAATAGTAAGGTTAGTTAAGTTCTAAACTTGAAAGTTATGCAAAGCCCTTCTTGACTGCATGTCCAGCTACTTGAGCTCTAGCCAGAAACAACAGCAATGACCTAAGATGGCAATTTAGAGAAACATAACCCTGAAGAATTCAAGATAATGATCATTTTATGTTTCAATAGTAATGTTTTGACAGTTGCTATATCGACATTATGAATAAAAAAATCAGTTTTCCCTTTCCCTCAAATTAACTACTAAGTAAGTAACTGGTTTATGTAAAGCAGTTCAAGAGATTTGTACAAACTCCTGCAATATATGAAACAGGATATTGAACAGATTTAGCTTTTTATTACTTTTAAATGTCATATGTATATGCATAGATTCAAAACAGGTGGTCTGAAAACAGTTTACTGTGTGGATTTCAAATAAACATTGAAATCAATCTCTTTTTGGTTGCTTAAAAACATTTATATATTGTATATATGCTGAGGCTCGAAAGAAACAGATTAATGGGTTTAATCAACATTACCAAACAAAACTACAGAAAATGTTATCAAAAATACAGATCAAAGTCTCATGCCATGTTTCCAATATGAAAAGTGACACAAATGAAAACTGAATGAAACATGACAACATTACAAAGTTGGTATTAGGTATGCCCTCCCTGAGCAATAATAAAATCCTGGCAGCATTGATACCGTATACAGTACAACGCTTGATCAGCTTCTGGACAGACTGCTGTGGGATATTTTACCACCTTCCCCAGCTGGCAAAGGTTTGTTGGTCACAGTTGTCTCGATGATGGCATCGACAAGTTAGTCCCAAAGATAATTTTCAGTTTAGGTCAGCTGCAGTCATTCTGCAGATGTGTGGGTTATTTCATCCTGGAATTTCTCATTCTGCAGCTACTGCAATCTGGCTATTTAGGATTAGATGGGTGTGATAATCCTAGATCAGTGTACTTTCCCGGAAGTGCCCAGCCCTTACAGAGCCAGCTTCCTGGTTTCTCTGGAAGAGGTTATTGAAGCAGACTGCTATATTTTTCGGGTAGGCACACATAATCAGATCACCTTCATATGGCATGCCAGGGCATGGCCTTATCTTTCTTTTTTCTTGCATTCATTAAAATCATATATTTTTTAAAAGTTGTTTATACCAATGGGCATTTTAACTCAAATACCAAACCCTAAGCACCTTGTGTTTTTTTATTAAATCAATGTAGAGCTCAGTGGTTTGTTATCCCAAGGAACAAAACTACTAAAGCTCTAAAAATGTCTTCTCACTATTTAAAATGTATATATTATATATGTGCCCTATGGGCTCTTGATGTAAAACTTAAACTGCTATGTGTTTCATTGTGCATAACTATACATGATTTATCACGACAAAATATTGCCAATGCAATCCTCCTGTGCCTTTATACAGCTTTCTTTTTATCAATGTCAAGCATGCTTTTCCTTCCTTATGAATAGTACCTCTTTCTCATGCTCGAATGTTCTGTTTTTTTATATTAGCATGATTGAATAGGTCAGACTCTGAAACATAGATCTTACAATCAGTATTGTTTTTATCACTTTCTTTAGACTTTCTTTAGTCAGAATTTAATTTATAACCAATGTAGGCAATACTGTTGATCTTGCAAATTAGCTAGAAATAATAGACAGATCGTCTTGATTTTTGACCCGATTAAGATTTATTGTATGGAAGGGTAATAAGGAAAATATGTAAAAATTACGTACATTATTATTTAAATATTATATTTAATTCCAAACATCATTTTATTTCAATGACATGCATTTTAGAACACATGTTAAGAGACCTCAAACGTTATACGCTGGTAATAAGGCATTTACTGCATGTAGTGTTTATTTTTATGGTTTATGTTTTCCAAATGCATAATGAATCTCTGCAATAAAACTGCAGAAATCAAATACAAAAGAAACAAAAATTAAAATGTAGGGGCATACAAATTTCAAAGCTTAATACTAGCACTGTCACAGAAGTGTGAAATGTGACACCACATACAAAAGCAAAATATCCTGGCAAGTGATCAGTCACATTTTATGGCTTGAAATTAGCCACAGATTCACCAAGAAAATTCTGCAAAGGCAAGTCTGCTCCAGTTGCTACATTAATAAAATACTTTATTTTATTAATATCTCATATTTAGTTCCTTACTGTTTTATTATGTAAACGTATTTGTATAAATAAAGGATATACAAACAAAATAGTAATAACAAGGAATTGAAGTAAAATAGTAATTATACAAAATAAAAGGTATATATAAAATATTGTAAATATTTTTTATTTTGATTTTTTCCCCATACTTTTAAATTATGTTCACTTGAGTAAGGGGAATATAATTTGAATTTTAAGAATTAATGTTACTGCTTTTAAGGTTTTTCCTCATTTACAGTATATATATATACACAAAACTTTATTGTAATAATAAAGTATCTACTTGATTTTATTAGTATTATTATCACCAATGTGTAGCTCCCACCTGGATAATGCAACAGCAGACCAAATGCACCAGTGAGCTCACCAAACATCAGCCATCCGTGGAGAGGAGAGCAGAGTGATGAAGCCAGTTCAGAGATGGGGATTATTAGGAGGCCATGACTGGTGAAGGCCAATGGGAAATCTGTCCAGGACACCCTTACTCTTTTCGAGAAACACTCCGGGATTTTTAATGAACACAGAGAGTCGTATTTCGGTTTTACATCTCATCTAAAGGATGGCACATTTTTATAGCATAGTGTCCCCGTCACTATACTGGCCCCAGGTGTGGGTTCTAATGGGGCATTAGAACCCACACCGACTGCAGGGTGAACGCCCACTACTGGCCCCAGGAGTCTCTCCTCAAGGTACTGACCAGGCTCACACCTGCTGAGCTCCAGTGGTCTGCCAGCTGTGAGTTGCAGGGTGACATAGCTGCTGGTGAAATCAAAATATGAAATATTCTTAGCCACTTTTTCTAATATTCCTATGAAGTGGTAAAATAAAAACATATGCTACTCATGTTGTAATGTCAATGGGAACCATTTGCCTGTTAACAGTAGGTGATTTGATTTTCCATTTTGTCTTCATGTCATTCTTCAAATGATATCTTATTAAATTAAAACTTCCAGTTAAAGTTTAAAGACAAGTCATGCGTTGTTTTTCTTATCATCGGTCTTTAAGTAGCCTAGCCAATCTTTAAAATTTAGATCAATTACTAACAATACTTATTGTACTGTCCTTGCTTTTAAATTTCTTCCAACTTGTAAAGGTAGTTTTCGCAAGAAAAGGGCACCAAATCAGAGACAATTTGGACTTTATCAAATAATAGTTAGGTGGTGTTAAAGTACTTTAGATTGTGACATGGACATGTCTAGAACAATACTGACAGTCATAAAAATGATAGAATAGGAGGGGAAAAGGGCACTGCTGTATGAGTAAAATACTAAAATATATGTTAAGTGTTTTCAATCCATACTGTGCATAATGCTTATTCTACAAATTTAAGGAGATTGCTCTATTGGCAACATAAAGGTTTTTATTTTTTATTGAGTAGTGCAAATATTAAAACACGGTAACTGACCGATGCCCTTTAAGTTTGTCATTAGAGTGGAAGGGCTTTTAAGTAGGGAGGGTGCTCAGTACTATAGTAGGAATGATGTTTTTTCCCTTCTCTCTGTTCTCCGTTTGCTTAGAGAGGGATGGTTTTCTGTGCACATGTTTTACTGTTTTGTGCTTTTGCTCCTGGAGTAAGCTGTACAAACTGTTGTATATATAGATTAATACCAAAGATTAAAGCAGTATTGCCATGTGCTTAAGGAAATAAAAGGTTCTGGAGAACTTTCCCATATTGTTGAACTGCCCCTTTGGAATACAGTATATGTTTACACTAACAAACATGTTACTTTAACACTAACAAACATGTTACATTATTGACTGGTTCATGGCCTAGGTCTGATGGAATTAAAAAAATAATAAAAAAGGTTTTGATAGACATCGATTGAAAACAGGCTAGAATTAAGAATGTAAGAACTGAAAACAATCTAAATACTGGGAATAGTTTCAGAAAAATATTAACCAATGTACAATATTATTCTTTGTATTCTTATCAATGCTGTTTTTTGTACTTTTGATTTTGAAATCACAGGTCTGATTATTTTTTTTTATTTTCATTTATGGTAGCGCTGAAGTATGTTTTCAATTAAGGTTGTTATGAATAAAATTAATCTTACATTTGTTTTGTCAAATCAGTAAAAAAGAACTGATTTGTTTTCCCATGGTGAACAGAAGGACTCTGTTGTATGTTATATTTTTCATGGTTCTAGTACATAAACTTAAAGACCCACTGTTCAAGACATTTGTTACCAGCAGGGTTTGGCAACAAAACAGCAGTGACTGAATGTCCTCATAAATTATATCCTGAGGAAAAATATCTTTAAATATCACACATTACAAACTAAGGAAAGTATGAAGGAGATTCATAAATCTTTTTGGGTGTTGAGAAATGCAGTCAATTACCAATGTATGAGAAGGCAAAAATTCTTAAACACATTCTTAAAGAGGAAATTTACTACTATGCACTATGCAAGTATTCAATTTGATTACAATGAAACAAAATTCAAATTGATGCACATAGGTCTGAAAGAAAATATCAAAAACAGTATTTCATGTAATTAATTGGCATGGCACTGGTCTTCAATAGTTCAAAGACCTATTTTCAGGTATTTTCAGGTAATGTAGATTCTATTGATTGTCATGTTCAAATAAATAATAAAAACAGCACACTGCATTCTTATGACCCCACTATTATCAGGATATCTCTATACCAACTGAATTATCACCATTACAAACAC